TGTTTTGTCTCCCTCTCTGCTTCTTTCTTGTTTTACATTTTCCTCTCTTACCCATGCTCCTCCGTTTTGTCTTAAATTCCACATATGAGTGAGTCATATGATAATTGCCTTTATCTGACTGATTGATTTCATATAGCATAATACCCTCTAGTTCCACCCACATCATTGCAAATGGCAAGATTTCTTTTTTTGATGGCTGAGTAGTTTTCCATTGTGTATATATACCACACTTACTTATCCATTCATCTGTTGCTGGATATCTGGGCTCTTTCCCTGGTTTGGCTATTGTGGACATTGCTGCTATAAACACTGGGTGCACGTGACCCTTTGGATCACTACATTTGTATCTTTAGGGTAAATACCCAGCAGTGCAATTGCTGTGTCATAGGGTAGTTCTATTTTCAAATTTTTGAGGAACCTCCATGCTGTTTCCCAGAGTGACTGCACCAGCTTGCATACCACAAACAGTGTAGGAGGGTTCCCCTTTGTCTGCATCCTCATGAACATCTGTTGTTTCCTGTCTTGTTAAGTTTAACCATTCTGTCTGGTGTGAGGTGTTATCTCATTGTGGCTTTGATTTGTATTTTCCTAATGCTGAGTGATGCACATGTTTTCATGTGTCTGTTGGCCATTTGTATGTCTTCTTGGAGAAATGTCTGTTCATGTCTTCTGCCTATTTCTTGAATAGATTATTTGTTCTTTGGGTGTTGAGTATGATAAGTTCTTTATAGATTTTGGATACTAGCCTTTATGTGATATGTCATTTGCAGGTATCTTCTCCCATTCTGTCAGTTGCCTTTTGGTTTTGTTGACTGTTTCCCTTGCTGTGCAAAAGCTTTTTGTCTCAAAAAAAATTTTTTTTGTCTGTGTTTTTATTGTGTTATGTTATTCACCATAAAATACATCATTAGTTTTTGAAGCATTGTTCCAAAATACATTGTTTTTGTAAAACACCCACTGCTCCATGCAATACATGCCCTCCTTAATACCCACCACCAAATTCATGCATCCCCACAACCACTCCCCTCTAAAACCCTCAGTTTGATGGAGTCCCAATAGTTCATATTTTCCTTTGTTCATTTTTGCTTTCCTTGCCTTTGGAGACGTGTCTAACAAGAAGTTGCTGCAGCGGAGGTTACAGAAGTTGGTTCCTGTGTTCTCCACTTTTAATAGATTTCTGTCTCACATTTAAGGCTTTCATCCATTTTGAGTCTATTTTTGTGTATGGTGTATGGGAATGGTCCAGTTTCATTCTTTGGCATCTGGCTGTCCAATTTTCCTAACACCATTAACTGAATAGCTTGTCTTTTTTCTTTTCTTTTTTTTTTTTTTTAAGATTTTGCTTATTTATTTGACAGAGAGAGAGATCACAAGTAGGCAGAGAGAGAGAGAGGTGGAAGCAGGCTCCCTTTCAAGCAGAGAGCCTGATGTGGGACTCGATTCCAGGACCCTGAGCCGAAGGCAGGGTCTTAACCCACTGAGCCACCCAGGCACCCTGGGCTCTCTATTCTGTTTCATTGATCTATGTGTCTGTTTTTGTGCCAATACCATACTGTCTTGATGATGACACCTCTGTAATAGAGCTTAAAGTCTGGAATTGTGATGCCACTAGGCTCACAGAACGAGTCCAAAAGTTTTCCTTCCATTTCTATTTTTTGAAACACCTTTAGAAGAACAGGTATTAATTGTTCTTTAAATATTTGGTAGAATTCCCCTGGAAAGCCATTCAGCCCTGGACTCTTGTTTATTGGGAGATTTTTGATGGCTGCTTCAATTTCCTTGCCTGTTATGGGTCTCTTCGGATTTTCTATTTCTTCCTGTTTCAGTCTGGTAGTTCATATGTTTCTAGAAATGCATCCATTTTTTCCTAATTGCCTAATTTGTTGGTATATAGTTGTTCATAATATATTCTTAGAATTGTATTTCTTTGGTGTTGGTTGTGATCTCTCCTCTTCCGTTCATGATTTTATTTATTTGGGTCCTTTCTCTTTTCCTTTTGGTGTGTCTGGCCAGGGATTTATCAATCTTAATTCTTTCAGAGAATCAGCTCCTAGTTTTGTTGATCTGTTCTACTGTTCTTTTGGCTTCTAGTTCATTGATTTCTGCTCTAATCTTTATAAATTCTCTTCTGCTGGGTTTAGGCTTTATTTGGTTTTCTTTATCCAGCCTCTTTAGGTGTAAGGTTAGCTTCTGTATTTGAGAACTTTCTTGTTTCTTGAGAAAGACCTCTAGTGTTATATACTCCCCTCTTAGGACCACCTTTGTTGCATCTCAAAGTTTTTGTTTTTGTTTCTAAATATTTTATTTATTTATTTGAGAGAGAGAGAGAGCAAGAGAGAGAGAGAGCAAGAGAGAGGATATACAAATGGAGGTACTGGGAGAGGGAGAAGTAGACTTCCCACAGAGGAGGGAGTCTGATGTGGGGCTCTGTCTCAGGACCCTGGGATCATGACCTGAGTCAAAGGCAGATGCTTAATGTCTGAGCCTCCCAGGTGCTCTGCATCTCAAAGGTTTTGAACAGTTGTGTTTTCATTTTCATTTGTTTCCATAAATATTTAAAAATTCTTCTTTAATTTCTTGGTTGACCCATTCATTCTTTGCTTGGATGCTCTTTACCCTCCATGTTTTTGAATTCTTTCCTTCTCCTCTCCATCTCCCCATGTCCTCCGTGTTATTCCTTATGCTCCACAAATAAGCGAATCCTTATGATAATTGATTCTCTCAGCTTGACTTACTTCACTCAGCATAATCTCTTCCAGTCCTGTCCATGTTGATACAAAAGTTGGGTATTCTTTCTAAATTTCCTCCTGTGAGTGATTTCCCGTTTCAAAGCATTGTGGTCTGAAAATTCACAGGGAATGATTCCATTTTTTTGGTACCAGTTGAGACCTCATTTGTGACCCTGTATGTGATCTATTCTAGAGATTGTTCCAGGTGCAGTTCAGAAGAATGTGTATTCTCTTGCTGTAGGATGGAAGTCTCTGGATGTATCTGTGAAGTTCATCTGATCCAGTGGGTCATTTAAGGACCTTGTTTCCTTGCTAATCTTAGATGATCTGTCCATTGTAGTGAGGGAGTGTTCAAGTTGCCTATGATTACACTATTATTATCTATGTGTTTCTTTAATTTTGTTTTAATTGGTTTCTATAATTGGAGGCTCCTATGTTAGGGGCATAAATATTTACAATGGTTAGATCTTCTTGTTGGATAGACACTTTAATTATAATATAGTGTCCTTCCTCATCTCTCATTACAGTCTTTGGTTTAAAATCTAATTTATTGGATATAAGGATTGCCACCCCAGCTTTCTTTTGATGTCCATTAGCATGATAGATGGTTTTCCATGATTTCCATGATAGATAGATTTCCATGATAGATGGTTTACCTCTCACTTTCTTTTTTTTTTTAAGATTTTATTTATTTGACAGACAGAGATCACAAGTAGGCAGAGAGGCAGGCAGAGAGTGAGGGAGAGGCAGGCTCCCTGCTGAGCAGAGAGCACGAAGTGGGGCTCGATCCCAGGATCCTGGGATCATGACCTGAGCCAAAGGCAGAGGCTTTAACCCACTGAGCCACCCAGGCAGCCCCTCCCTCTCACTTTCAATCTGGAGATGACTCACAGTCTAAAATGAGTCTCTTGCACACACAGCATATCAATGGGTCTTGCTTTTTTGGCTAATAAGTATTTTTAAAATAAATGAAGTAATGGAGGGAAGAGACAGGGGCGGTAGGGAGAGACAGTGGTGGTGAGTCCTGTGCACTCTTTGGAGACTGTAGGTTCCATTTGCTTTCAGGACTGTCAGGGTCATGATTATTCACTCCAGGAGGATTGAATGGGCTTCTGTTGCATACTGTTTTACAGGAGCACCTACCACATCCCAGGCACTTTTCAGGCACTGGGGGTTCATAGGAGCAAGTAGAGAAATGTCCCTGCTTCCAGGGAGCCATACCAAGAGTGGTCTCCCCAGGACTCTGGTGGGTCACATCCCCCCTCAAGGATGAGGAGAGACAGTTGGGCTTGGGGTGTCAATGTAGAGGCCAGCCCACCCCCTGGACACCCTGAGAGACCCACTTCACTCAGACCTGCCTGGCTCAGTGTCCCACCTATCCTGTATCAGCTGTGCAACCACAGGCCATTCACCTGCCCTCTCTGAACCAGGACCATCTGTGCAGCATGGAGTAACTTTCCCCACTATACACCCTGTTGGGAGGACATGGTGACGTGGACTGTAAGAAGTAGAGGCCAGTGCCTGGCAGTTGCCTAGTGCCCATAGCATGCGAGGCTCCTCCTTATGACTCCACAAGGTGCAGGTTCAAGACACCTCTAAGGTGGGATCTGGTGACCTCTTCTCTTTAACTTCTCACTTTGACACTTGGGCAGTCTCTCACCTCCCTGTCCCTCGTGTTCAGTGACTGTTATGAAGGAAAGAGAATGCAGGGAGAGGACCAGGTCCACAGTGTCCTCCAAGGTGCCCATGTCCCGCATTCATCAGAACCCAGCAGATCTGAGGAAGGGGAGGTCACTCGCATTTGCACAGGCATGACCTGCAGCTCACAGAATGCACCCCTGCCTGAGGTTGAAGTTCCAGGCTGTCCCCCATGAAGACCTGCTTCCCAGGGCCTCTCTGAAACTGTGCCCCATGATGTCTTCTGCGGCCCACTTTAGATGCAGACAATGGAGCACTCTAGGCAGGGTGGTCAGCTGTGAGCCACGGGCCCATGCAGATGGTAGATGAAGTGGGAGGTGGGGTTCTGAAGAGACTCCATTCCACACCTGACGAGTGCAGGGCTGACTTGTTAGAGCGCCATTTCACACCAACAGCTACAAAGGCAGATAAAACCAAACCTGTCTTTTGGGCTGGGCTGAGCACAAACCTGAGCTAAACAAGTCATGTGAAGTGCCCAGTGCACCTGGTCTGGGAGTTTCAGACCACACATCCTTGGACAAGGGGCTTCCCTCCCTCGGTATCCCTCCCAGAGACCCTTGCAGACTGCAGTACCTGGCGTTTCTGCCTGTCTGAGGCGATGCCGTCCCACCACAGCCGGAAGTATTCCTGCTCCACAGCAATGAAGCGGCGATGCTTCTGGAGCATGAGCTCCTGCACCACAGAGGTGTAGACATTGGCCACATAGGCCCACGGGCTTTCCTGTGGAGGGGGCACCCCATTACACCAGCACCCATGGAGGTTCCCAGAGGCTTGACCCCAAGGATCCAGTACTAAAATCCCAGTGGCACAGGGTCCCTGGGCCCCACCACTCCCTGTGGGTTTCTGTCCTGGGCTCTTCCTCTCTTCCTCCTATACCACTCCGACAGAGACACACAGGGACTGCTCTGTGCTGGACACACAGTGCCAGCTGGCCCTGAGACAGTGACATGGCTCTCCTGCCTCTGATGAGATCCTGCTGTTCTAGGGAGAGAGGTGATGTTCCAGACCATGACACAGGATGTGCCCAGGGGCCAGGGACACCTTCCCTGAGGGGGCATGGTAGCTGGTCTTGATGTTCCAGACCATGACATATGACATGCCCAGGGGACAGGGTCAGCTTCCATGAGGGGCATGATAGCTGGCCCAAGGGTACAGTAGGGAGGCAGCCAGTGAAGCCACAGGGTGACAGGGAGGAGGTCCAGGGACCCCGTGGGGCCCGTCTGGGCTGAAATGAAGGGAGCTGAGGATGAGATCTGAAGCTGAGAGGAGCTGCCCCCAGCCCCCTGGATGGTCGCGGGCATCTGCTGACCTGCCTCTCCCAGGCTGGAGGCTCCACAGGACCAGACATGGGTGTTTCCCATATGTGTTTCCAGGCTGATACATGGTGTTGCCCAGAGTGGCTGCTTAATGAAATGCAAAGATCCCTGGCCAGGGAGGCCTCAAAAAGGGAGGTCATTCCTGGGTTCCCTTAAGCAAGTCACCAACCCTCGCTGGGCCTGTTTTCTCTTCTATAACTGAGGGCAACAAGCATGCTTCCTCACCGTTAAGCCATCTCCACAGGCAGCAGAGTGTCCCTGGAGAGGCTGCCCAGTGCATCCCAGGAATGGACTCCTTTGCCCTCACCGCCAGCATCAGATCCTCTTGCTGCTTCCCTCTCCCATTGAAGTCTAGCTGCCTCTCAGTAACATCCGCAGAATGGTTATTGTATCCCTAATCCCAGAGAGTGTTTGTTCTCTTCTGGGTTTCCTTCCTGTTCCCACAAAAGAGCTGGAGGTGGCCTGGGTGACAATATGCAGTCACCTGACCCAGGATCTTGAGCAAATCTTGGTCTCTTCCTGCTCCTTTTCCTGCATTCGTTCCTTCTTGCATGCCTTCATTCCTGTACTTCTTCATATCTGCATTCATTCATTCCTGTGTTCATTCATTCATTCATTTGAACATTCATTCATTTATTTGATCATTCATTCCTGCATATTCATTTGAATTCATTCATTCCTGCATTCATTCATTCCTGCATTCATTCACTCAATCAGCAATAGCTGGTGCACCTCTTCTGTCTATCAGGGTGGTGAAACCATGCCAGGAAATATAACGTATGAAGCCCTTGGCCTGTGAAGCTAGCTCTCTGCTGGGGACAAGGGACCGACACCAAGCCCCCTACCAAATGTGAATGGAAAGGAGGAGGGGAAGGGAATAGGGGTACACATAGGGATGCCAGGAATGCCCCACCAGAAAGTGTCTTTTCTGGAACCACACACAGGGTTGGGAGGGACTAGGCTTATTGGAGGAAGGCCTTCTGGGCAGAGGGAACAGCCCATGCAAAGGGTCTGAGGCCTGTATCATCCTACAGAAGGGGGACATGGGGCTCAGAAAGGGAACAGAGCCCACCCAAGGTGTCCCAGTCATGGACTGCAAACCATGGCCTGAGTCAGGCCCATGTATCTTCACCTGACTATCCCTAGCATGGATGGGGAAACTGAGGCCAGAGACTGGAGCCAAGCAGCCCAAGTGAGCCTCCCTGGTCTCCAGCGAGTTAGGTCATAACTCAGGCGGCTCCCTTGAGGATGTCAGCTAACACCAGACTTCAAACCCACCCTGGGATCTGGCAGGGAAAAGGAAGCCGAGCTCCAGGGGTTCTGGGGGATGGTGAACGGGCACCTACCTGTACAGTGTGGATCCAGACCACATCCATGTGACTGTGGGGAACCACAAAGACCCTGATGGGCTTCATGGGTTGGGCCACCAGGAACTGCAGCAGTACCAGCTGCATAAGCACAGGAAGCCAGACGGGCGGCCACATCCCAGTGGCAAGTGGGCAGGGGCAGCTGCTGGCCATAACTTGTCATCCACTGGCGACTGGTCCCCTAGCAGAGAACGCCACCCCTGACCCATGAGGAGGCAGGGACAGAAGCAGGAGGAGTGGCACTCACAGCAGTGTTGTCTTCTGAACCAGAAGAGGGGGTGGCCCCTGGACATCACCATTCTGTGCTCCGCCCCCATCAGTAGTGTCTAGGCATTGATGTCAATTTTTTTAATTTATTTTATTTAAATTCAATTATTTAACCTATAACGTGTTGTCAGTTTCAGAGGAGGAGTTCAGTGACTCATCAGTTGCATATCACACCCAGTGATCATCACACCATGTGCCCACCTTGATGCCCATCACCCAGTTACCCCATCTCTCCACTCACCTCCCCTCCAGCAACCTGCATTTTGTTCCTAGAGTTTTTCCTAGAGTTTTTTGGTTTGTCTTCCTCTCAGATTTCATCTTTTTTTATTTTTCCATCCCTTCCCCTATGATCCTGTTTTTTTTTTCTTAAATTCCACATATGAGTGAAATCCCATGATAATTGTCGTTCTCTGATTGACTTATTCCGCTCAGGAATAAACCAGTGCTGTCCACTTCTCAGCAGATTCCCAAATACCATGTGCCCCAGGGTGGTGGTCATGGTGTGCTCTCCCCTAGAGTTTCGTCTGGAGGAAACCAGCAGTGACATCACGGGTCAAGCCAGCCTTCTGTGTAGGGGACATGCAGGGAGGAGCTCTGTCCTGCCCACAGCCGGCACCAGCTCAGCAGTCCTGTGAGCCAACCACCAGCAAGTCACTCCTCTGGCCCAGCCTTGGATTCAGGAGTCCGTGCTGAGCCCTCACTGCAACCTCAGGAAGGACAGGGAGCCAGAAACACCCCGCTAATCACTCCTGAATGCCTTGCCCCCAGAAACTCAGGTGCTAATGGGTGTTTAAGGCTGCTTGAAGTCCCTAGTCCTCAAAACAGTGCAAATTCTCTCTCCCCAGTGTCCATTCAGTGACCAGGAGCCACCTTGGGGAAGGGATGGAGGAATCCTTTCCATAGGGTCCTGCTGGACCCTCTCAGCCTCCTTCCTCCCAGGGACAAGCTCTCCTTCCATCAGAGGGTTTTGGGTTTGGAAACTGGGTCAGGTCTGGAAACTGGGCAAGGGATACAGATGTGTCATTAGGGTGGCTACCCTCAGCATCCGGACTCATCGATCCTCATGGCCCCGGAGAGGTCATGCAGACAGTGTGTGGTTCACCTGTCTATCTGTTTCCCCGCAAGGAGTGCTGTGTACTGTCACCTCAATGGCTGGCAATGGTCCCATGCCATTCTAACCTCCACATGTTTCCAGGGATCCACCTGACCTTACTTCTGATGGCTGTGTGCAGTCACCTGGCCTCTTGATTCTGTGTCCTGTGACCCCCTGAGCCAGCAGCCCACACAGGTCTGCCATGGTCTCAATCATCAGCCCTTCCTGGAGGGAGCCGCCCATCTCTGAGCTCTCGGTGATGCTGAGCTTGGTGATACTTGGTGATGCTTGAGAAATGGGAGCGTCTTCTAGGTCTCCTGAGAGCACTGTCCCCTGGAGGGTTTTCACCTTATATACCATCGTCCCGAACACCCATGTTCTCCTGTCTGAATCTCTGATCCCTCTTCTTCCCTATGTCTGGGCACCTCCTCTCTACATCGTGTGGGCATCACTCTCACCACCCTCCCGAGCCGCTTGTGTGAGCTGCAGCCCCTGCATGATGGTCCTCACGGCGGTGGCATTGTCTCCTAGAACTGCCAACATGAGATGCCGCAGCCCAAGCTCCAACTCTGGCCGTGTGTTCATCAGGTTCTAGAGGCTGGAAGCTCCCAGGGCTGGGGACAAGGTTGGGATGGCCTGTGTGACCCCGTCAGAGCCCCGGCTCTCCCCAACTAGGCGGCTGGCATTGGCTGCCCAGAGAGGCTGCCAAGAAAGAATGGAACTTTCTGGCAACAGAATTGGGTGGGCCCAGCCGCAGGAAGCTATTTCAGTTTCTGGACTCTGTGGCTTCAGTCACTAACAGCACATTGTTGTCAGGAACAAGCCAGGGGGAGACATGTTTTCCCCGCTTCAGTGAGATGCCCCCACACACCGCACATTTGAGTCAAAGCTCTGGAAAAAGAACACAGGGTGCCAGCAGCTCCCTGGTGGCAAAGGGAACATGTCCCCAGTGTCACACCTGGGTTCTCTGGCCTGTGACTCCTGATCCAGCCACCGCTGCACACAAAGGTGCCCAGGACTTGTTCTGGGCAATTAGAAAAAGGAACATCCTGAACGTTCTTTGTGGGTCTATAGGGGGTTGTGGATGAGCACCCCGCATCATGGCCTGGTGAATCCTTGTGAGCTCAGTGTTGTCTGTCCTCTGGAGCAGCTGGGACAGGCCTGGAGGCTTAGGTTGTTTCATGGTCAATGTGCCTGGGAGCTGCCTCCAGTGCCAATGACCTCCCTGGCCGTCAGTCTTGACCATGGAATCCTCCTGCCTCCAATCTTCCATAGCTCCCAATGTCTCCCCACCAGACCCTGATACTCTGCCCGAGTCCTAGAGCCTTTCACAAGTGGCCCCACCCTGCCTTTCTGGCCTCACTTCCCAATCACTTCAAGTACATCCTTCCCTTAGTTGTTACCAGCCCCCACCGTCCCCATCCTCACGACCCTTGTCCTCTGCTGTGTCCTGGCTGCCATGGCTCCTCCAGCTGCAGTGAGCTGGCTTCCTCCCTCCACTGGTGCTGCATGGCCAGATCCTCCCTGCACTTCAAGCCCTTTCCTGCCTCAGGCCCTTTGTGCATGCCATTCCCTTGGTGAAGAAGCAGCTCCCTCCACTTTCCAGCTGGCTAGAAATTGTCTCACAGACACCTCCCATGGCCTCCCACTCCTCCTCCATAGATTCAGTCTGTTTGTGAGCCCACGTCCATGTGTGTGTAGTTAATATTGTCCTCACCCACAGTTCGACCCACTAGGAGGCTCAGTAGGTCCCCTGCAGAATCCAGAACCTGGAATAAGGAGGAGCTCTCTCTTCTTGAAGAGCATGTGATGTTAATTGTGTGGATGGACCCCCATCCCCTCTTCCCTGGAGGACCCGGCTGCTCGCCAATGTAACGTATAAATTTCATCCCAGCTGCTCCTCCTGACAACCCGAGACACCTCATGTCAGCAACACCACCCTGGAGCAGGGCAGACACACAACTCCCAACAGTTGACACGCAGCCTCAGTCTTCTGACCCCTAAAATGGGGATGTTTATTCACGTGGAATGTGAAGTAACCGTCTGTGTGTGACCCAATGTGAGCATCAGCTTACCAACAGCAGGTGTGCACTTTCCAGACTCTGAGTCTTGTTGCTCCATGGAACTGTTTTCACATTTTTATCCCTTAACACCCACTTTCTTTGATTCTATGCCAGGCTCTGGTCTGAGAGACCAGAGAACAGGAGATGTGCTGCCTCAGGGTGCCCTTGGGGTGGAAGACAGGTCATGGCCTGCTGGGAGCCCCCTTTGTCCTCCCTCCTTGTAACTGGCTTCTCCGGGCCCCGTTCCACACTTTAGTTCCTCCAGACTCTGCCAGGTAGGGGAGCAGTGACCCCTGCCCTGGGTAGGTCTGGGCTTGGGAATGTGAGAACACAAACAGGTCTCAGGCCAGAGTCCAACAGTCAGAGTTTGAGTCCTGCCATGGCTGCTTTCCTTACTGAGTCCCTCACTGTACCCCAAGCTCTGTGTCTTCTCCATGAAATGGGCATCGCAATTAGACATCTGAGGCAGCGGGGGAGGGGGGGTACGGGGAGCGGAGGCGTGGAGGAGGAGCCACAGGTGAGTGGAGCACCAGTGTGCCCTGGACACTCTAGTCTCAGCCTCTCAACCCCTGCCCTGTGCTGGCCATCCCCAGCTCCTCACCTATTTCCTATCCTGCATATGCACCCTGTGTCCTGCACCCCACACTCCTTGTTCCTGCTCTGAGCTGCCTCAGGGATGAGGGACAGGGAAGGGAGAAGACAAGGAACAGCAGGAGGGGAAGAGATGGGGAAGGGATAGGAGAAAAGGATGGAGGGGCATGGGAGAGAGAGGATGGAGAGGAAGGAAGGAAGAGGAGGAGAATGGGGAGGAGAAGGAGGAGGGAGACTATGGGGAGGAGGAAGATGAGGGGAGGAGGAGGAAGTAGAGGAGGAGGAGGAGGACAGGGAGGAGGGGCTGCCATGCCTGGTCCCTGGTACCTCCAGGCCACACCAGAGGCCATGGTAGGCTTCAGAACTGCCTTGTGTATCCCAGTCCCTGGTTAGCCTTTGCCCTGTGTCCCATCTGAAGGTCAGCACAGGGCTCTGGGGCACCCCAGCCAGCCTCCCTCAGTACCATCCTGAGAACCCACACCCCATTCTCACCTGCCTCAGCCCCTTCAGCCTTCCAGGCAGCACTCCTCCACAAACAGAGCCTTCGGTGTGGGCGTGAGGAAGGAAGATGGGAGGGCACAGCTTTGTGGGCCAGAAGTAGGATTCAGAGAGTCCAGCCAGGTACCAGGACATTCCCTAGCATCGTAGCTTCTCCTGGGTTTGCAAATGGTTGTTTCAGAGCCCATGCTTTTAGGCTCACAGAGAACCATCCAACCCTGTGGGGATACACTCTGCTGTGGTCTGTGCCGACCTCTCTGAGCTGCAAGGTCTCTCCAGAGCAGAGAGGGAGGGATGAGGGCAGGGATGAGGTTGAGATGGGGCAGCAGTGGTACAAGATCTCTCTGCCTACTGTGTGAAGTGTGGTCTTTTGGGATCAAGGTGGAAATCAGGAGAGGATTTGGAGGCTCCCACGGTGCCAGGCTGAGCCATGCCACTCCCATCAGGAGGACCTGAAGAGATCCAGATGAGAATGAATTGTTTCATTCAAGACCATTGAGCCCCTTGCCAGTGGCAGAAACAGACCAGTACACACATAAACGTACAAGATTGCGTCAAGGGCGCAGGTATGGCTAAGGGAGAAAAGATGGGGAGGGGCTACAGAGTGCCAG